AACCAAGCTCCGAACCTGGGGGGACAGAGCCTTCTCCGTCGCTGCCCCCACCCTCTGGGGGGACAGAGCCTTCTCCGTCGCTGCCCCCACCCTCTGGGGGGACAGAGCCTTCTCCGTCGCCGCCCCCACCCTCTGGGGGGACAGAGCCTTCTCCATCGCCGCCCCCACCCTCTGGGGGGACAGAGCCTTCTCCGTCGCCGCCCCCCACCCTCTGGAACAGAGCTTTCTCCGTCGCTGCCCCCACCCTCTGGGGGGACAGAGCCTTCTCCGTCGCCGCCCCCACCCTCTGGGGGGACAGAGCCTTCTCCGTCGCCGCCCCCACCCTCTGGAACAGAGCTTTCTCCGTCGCTGCCCCCACCCTTTGGGGGGACAGAGCCTTCTCCGTCGCCGCCCCCACCCTCTGGGGGGACAGAGCCTTCTCAGTCGCCGCCCCCACCCTCTGGGGGGACAGAGCCTTCTCCGTCGCCGCCCCCACCCTCTGGGGGGACAGAGCCTTCTCAGTCGCCGCCCCCACCCTCTGGGGGGACAGAGCCTTCTCCGTCGCCGCCCCCACCCTCTGGGGGGACAGAGCCTTCTCAGTCGCCGCCCCCACCCTCTGGGGGGACAGAGCCTTCTCCGTCGCCGCCCCCACCCTCTGGGGGGACAGAGCCTTCTCAGTCGCCGCCCCCACCCTCTGGGGGGACAGAGCCTTCTCCGTCGCCGCCCCCACCCTCTGGGGGGACAGAGCCTTCTCCGTCGCCGCCCCCACCCTCTGGGGGGACAGAGCCTTCTCAGTCGCCGCCCCCACCCTCTGGGGGGACAGAGCCTTCTCCGTCGCCGCCCCCACCCTCTGGGGGGACAGAGCCTTCTCCGTCTCCACCCTCTGGGGGGACAGAGCCTTCTCCGTCTCCACCCTCTGGGGGGACAGAGCCTTCTCCGTCGCTGCCCCCACCCTCTGGAACTCTCTTCCACAACACAGAGACTGCACCAACGCCCCACTCTCAAAACACACCTCTTCAGACTGGCTTTTAATTTGTGAATTCTGTTGTGTTGCTGTTTTAATATTTTGTATTCTATTTTATCACCACTGTAAAGCGTCTTTGAGCACCTGAAAAAGCACTTTGAAATTAAATGTATTAAATGCTTTTCATGCATCGATTGATTTGATAACGCCCGTCTATGAAATGACTTACGACTAATCGGAAAAACCAGCTACTTTACAGAATTGCCATCACATTGAAATTTGCTGTATTTTAGGAAAACCTCTAAGATCGATGGCTGGAACTTAATTATTTTCAACATTTTATATTTCATATATATGCAAATAATATCCTGCTTTAGTGTCACACCCTGGCTCAAGGACGGACAAAAGGAGACCACACATGATTCATATCCAATTAAAGTGCATTTATTTAAAGAAACTAAGTTAATGAAGTCAGTTAATCAGTGGGTGTGTGAACATGCATCAGCATATAAAGCAAAAACAAACAAACCAAGGTCCAGTAGAGCCAAGCAACCCAAGAGGAGAGAGACCGACTGCTCAGGCACCCATACTGGTAGCTGAGCAGTCAGCCCAAATCAGGTGTCAGCAATCTCTCCTGATTTGGCGAGTGGCTAACCGAGGACCTGAGTCTAAGGCCTATGAGCCGTCACAATAGTGTTACTGAATATTTGCCATTCAATAGAGAACCGCAGTGACGCGTCCTAAAACCCGGAAGTAAGTTAGCATTTTTACCACGTCCGGTTCCTTCGATAAAAAGCAATGCAATTTCTCCATAGGGTTTTGGAAAATAGCTCCAAATAAGGTCTGTGTTTGACACAAATTGAAGAGACAGATCACGTTTTGTTCTAGGACATTAAATCCATCAGCAGTGACCCCGCTGGTGATTTCTGAAGAGTTTACGTGTCTGAGAAACGATGGTTGTTACCATGTGGCTGAATAGGACTACAGAAGTCGTGGAGGCCGTTTGACGTCATTACGCCGAACACGTGAACACTCCTAAGTTAGTTTCTGTTCTGCTTGAAAGCAAGTCCCTGCCTCCTGCAGACTGTTCAAACACTTCAACTTGTACCATCTAGAGTCTGTGAGTTTGAATATGGATCTGAAGTCGGCGTGACGTTGAAGCAGCGACCCTGCTGTAGTTCCTTTATAGCATAACGTTAGCATTTTGCGACTAGATTTATGATTAGAAAATGATAAAAGTAGGATAGACACGTGGAGATTATCCGCCTGAACAAAACGTGATCCGTCTCTTCAATGTGTTTCAACCACAGACCTGATTTCCAGATATTTTCTAAAATCCTATGGAGACATTGGATTGCGTTTTTGACGAAGGAACCGGAAGGAGTTTACATCCGGGTTTTCAGATGCGTCACTGCGGTTCTCTTATCCGTTTATATCACGGTCATCTATAGATGTTCTCTCTAGTGCTGGTTTATATCCTTCCGTTTCAAGAAGTTAATATTTGTAAATGATTATTTAAACTCTTTTAATATCTAATTGTGTGCAATGCCTGGTTTCATGCTGCTGCCACAAAAACGTGAATCCCAATTTGAGATCAATGAAGTAAATCTTATCAAGTGAGAGCAACTGAACCCAATTTCTTTCTCAATTCCTCCATGTGTTACACGAACAGAACTCAGTTCCTCACCATATTTAGCAGTTGTTCATCGTTGCGAGTGGCCGTGGTAGAAGTCTGTATCATTTCAGATACACAGCAAACCCTCAAGCATTCAAACAATCTCATGTTTGTGAAAAGTGTTTTTTATTTCAGGGTTGTGATCGTTTAGACCAGGGGTGTCAAACTCAATTTCATCGCTATGGTTTCACTCAAAGGGCCGGTTGTAACTTTAAAACTATATAAAAATACATATATAAATATTTAATATATATAACTATTTATTATATTACATGATTGCATTATTTTCAGATACATCTGAAAGCAGAAGTCTAGGGTAAATAATTGCAAGTCTCTTCAGTGTGCATGTCACAAAATGATTTTAAAAAGCCAAATTCTGGAAAAACAAAAGAAGTGACATTTTGAGAAAAAGGCAAATTCTAAGGAAAAAAAAGCATATTTTGAAGGAAAAAAGGCAAATTTGAGATGCATTGTGGGACATGTAGTTTATGTTCTGTAAAGTAGCATGTAACCGTATAATAAACATATTATATTCTTTGCAAGCTCTTCTGGGGCCACATAAAATGAAGTCGCGGGCCGGATTTGGCCCCCGGGCCTTGAGTTTGACCCCCCTGGTTTAGACAGAGGAAACTTTTTTTTAAACTATAGATTTGCACAAATGGGAATAAAGGGTGTTTTTAAAATGGTCAAAAATAATGCAAAAGACAACACTGACTGTTTAACATCACATTTATTTAAACAAAAATGTGCATTTAGGAGGAGCTGGAGGCGGCCACTGCGGCACGGCGGGGCTTGGGGGTGGTGCCTTCCCTGAAACCATTCCTGAGGAAAGAGATGAGACAAGTTTAACACAGGAGTCTTGGTTACCTTGGTTGCTGATTGGCTAATGGCCAAAAAAACATGATGACATCATAAAGTGGCCAAAATCTGATCAGCTTATTTTCAGACAGGTTTTTATAGAAATGGATCAAAAAGAGAGAGAATCTTTGTTCCTGAAACTTTCAGAGTCTCTTTCCACAGAGGGGACACATGTTGATGAAGAAGAGACATGAAGAAGAGGGGACACATGTTGATGAAGAAGAGACATGAAGAAGAGGGGACACATGTTGATGTAGAAGAGACATGAAGAAGAGGGGACACATGTTGATGTAGAAGAGACATGAAGAAGAGGGGACACATGTTGATGTAGAAGAGACATGGAGAAGAGGGGACACATGTTGATGTAGAAGAGACATGAAGAAGAGGGGACACATGTTGATGTAGAAGAGACATGAAGAAGAGGGGACACATGTTGATGTAGAAGAGACACGAAGAAGAGGGGACACATGTTGATGTAGAAGAGACACGAAGAAGAGGGGACACATGTTGATGAAGAAGAGGGGACACATGTTGATGTAGAAGAGACATGAAGAAGAGGGGACACATGTTGATGTAGAAGAGACATGAAGAAGAGGGGACACATGTTGATGTAGACGAGACATGAAGAAGAGGGGACACATGTGATGTAGAAGAGACATGAAGAAGAGGGGACACATGTTGATGTAGAAGAGACATGAAGAAGAGGGGACACATGATGTAGAAGAGACATGAAGAAGAGGGGACACATGTTGATGAAGAAGAGACATGAAGAAGAGGGGACACATGTTGATGTAGAAGAGACATGAAGAAGAGGGGACACATGTTGATGTAGAAGAGACATGGAGAAGAGGGGACACATGTTGATGTAGAAGAGACATGAAGAAGAGGGGACACATGTTGATGTAGAAGAGACATGAAGAAGAGGGGACACATGTTGATGTAGAAGAGACATGAAGAAGAGGGGACACATGTTGATGTAGAAGAGACATGAAGAAGAGGGGACACATGTTGATGTAGAAGAGACATGAAGAAGAGGGGACACATGTTGATGTAGAAGAGACATGAAGAAGAGGGGACACATGTTGATCTCATTTACTAAGTTATTATCTTTTAGCCAATTCCTATTCTAATTTCTCTCTACCGGTAATATCAGAAATACACACCTCACCACTAAAATCAACTTCAGTTTCTCATCCACTGCTGTAGTTGGAGGTTAGTGCGCTAACTAGCTATGTTAAAATATTTAACTCCGTGACTTGTTTAACAAACAGGAAGTCTGTGGCACAAATGACACAAGTTAAGCATTTTTTTTAAAAGTAACAAAGTCACTAATAAAAGTCAGGTTTACCAAGATCAGGCATCCACTCTGGTGTAACTGATAACCATGATGATCAGATGCTCTGACGTGTCCCAGCTAGCGAGCACCTGAACTGGTACTGCTTGATATATATATATATATATATATATATATATTTCTACTCTTGTGTTGCATGATGGGAGGATAGTTCTGCTCTTCATCAACGATGCTTACCTCAGAGAAATCACTGATATCATTTTGAATCAATTGTTCAGACATTTATTTTTCAACATCATCGGCAAGCAGCATTGATGAGTCTCACAACGAGACCGCAGATCTCAAATCGTACACCTAAACGAGTCGGTTTACCCGCTATGATTCACTGACTGGATATATCTAAGAAATTGTGTTTCTGTCCATTACAGATTCAACTAACAATAATAAAGATCAATAAATATTAGTGGTGCACGATAATTATCGGTCCGATATGACGTCATCCCGATACCAGTATTAATAGCCCCGATAACATACAATATATGTTTTGGGTAAAAAAAAGAAAGAATATTGCGGTGTGGGTGGATTGGGATGAGGGGCGCTTGTTTTTCACTCGGCTCCTCCCGTTTGGCCAGTACTGTGGTATTAGTGGTTTAGGAAGAGGGGAGTTCTTCACAAATCCAGCGCTCCCTAACTCATGCCTGGCTGTGACGTAAATGGTGTGCGGCCGTGAAGCCAGGACAGTAAACAAACATGTCGCCGGTAGTATGGGACTATTTCAAAGTTTCAGAGTTAGATAGTTCGCTTGCTATTTGTATTAACAAATGCAGAAGTTCCACGAGGAGGGAGAAAGGCAACGAGCTATAATACTTCCAACCTGATTAGTCACCTGAAACATCGCCATCGCTACGATGGTGTGTTAAAAGCGCACGAAGACGCCTGCGCTGCTAAACTAGCGGCGAATCCAAAGCCAGCTGCAAAGGCACCGGGGCTTTTACCTATCCACGAGGCTTTTGGAAAAGGCAAGAACTTTATTTGGGAAAATAAATATGGTCACTTTGAAGAGTCAAAACTGTTCTTTGTTTTGTTCATAGTAGTAACGCTCATGTCATTTGCTCACTTTTACCACCAGGTGTGCAAAAACTACAGGTACATTTAATATATATATTATATTATTATCGGTCTTGAGAAGCAGGAAGTTATCGGTATCGGTTTAAAAAAACCAATATCGTGCATCCCTAATAAATAGGCCTAAATTATAAGCTTTTAAAAAAAAAGGCAATTATCGTGAAATTCGGCTCACGTTTGAGACATACTTCAAACACAAGTAGAACAATTCTAATTATCCGACTCCAGCGTCTTTTGAGAGCATTTTTCTACTTTTGTTCGTCATAAAATCAAGTTGGGTATTCGGGACAATTGCAGAACAAAAGATATTACTTTAACCCGTTAAGAACAGTTAGAAATACACTACATTTGTACATTTAATGTGTTTAGACTGTCAATATGCATTGAATCTTATCTCGTTGCACTGTCATCGCTACTCCCTCTGCTTTTACCACTCTTATATATTAGTGTCTATTTCTTACTGCAGTGAGAGATGTCGTTGAGTTATATGCTTTAAATATAACGGACACAAGGTGAAAATATAACTCTAAATAAGAAGCTAGTGACGTAATACCACTGAAAAACTGAAGTCTCCATTTTGTTCTAATTGCACATCCTTCATCACAAAATGGTCCTTTTTGTATTGAACCGTCAAATCCTGTCGTTGGTTGATTAAACTGAGATGATACGAGCAAAGGGATTATCTTATTAGCATCTCAATGTCATACAAAAACTTCTGCAGATATTTTACTGCGATTACACTTCATATAAAGTTCAGTGTTGACTTTAGGTTCAGTTCCAGGAAAATAAAGCAATCTGGTCGAGGCAGTGTTGACAGTTCAAGGTACCAGATATTTAGTTACAGCTTCATGTTTACTGTCTCAGAGTAAAAGCTGTGTATTCAGGACAAATGTTAAAGTAATGACATCGTTGTGTGTCGGTGTAAACATTCGTTTTAACCCACATGTTTGCAAAGACACCCTTATTTTGTTAATTTCGCTATGTCAATAACACTGGCAGCATAATACTGTTTCTCATCACAGCCTGATATCAATATATTAATGATCCAGATTCCTCTTGGCAGGCGGAGCTGCAGGAAGCTTGCTTATGCTCCGCGTTGAAAGTATGTCAACAGCAGATCCAATGTTTGTAGGTAAGAGTTGATAAATCAAAAATGTTTAACTACAATCTGGATTACTTGGAAAGCGTTTATCGCAGGGGTTTCAAACTCAAGGCCCGGGGGCCAAATACGGCCCGCGGCTTCATTGTATGTGGCCCACAAGAGCTTGCAAAGAACATATGTTTTATATACGCTTTACAGAAGCACGTTGCCCATGAACTACATGTCCCACAATGCATCTCAAATTTGACTTTTTTTCAAACTGTCACTTTTTTATTTGGCCTTTATCTCCAGAACGTTCTTTTTAAATCATTTCGTGACATTCTCACTGAAGAGACTTGCAATTACTTGCTCTAGACTTCTGCTTTCAGACGTAGTTAATTATGAAGTTATTACCCTATCAGATAATAATCCAATGCAGAGGCAATCATGTCATATAAAACATTTTATATATTTATATATGTATTTTTATATAGTCTTGAAGTTACAACCGGCCCTTTGAGTGCGACCTTAATGCTGAGTGGCCCGAAATGAAATTGAGTTTGACCCCCCTGGTTTATCGTGTCTCACAGATGTACGAGTGAGATCACGCAAACACACGTTCACTGTGGCGTTTGGATGACATTACATCGTTTACATTACTGACACTTTTCCTACATTAAAGACCAAGTGGAAAAACCTCTCATGGGAGTAACGCATCACCAGAAACACATGTAGAAAGTTCTTTATAGAGAGGCGAAGTCCCGCCCTTCTACTTCCGCCCCATGGGACCTTATTTCTGAAAAAGTATGTATTGAAGTCAATGGAGAGAGAACGCATCTTTCGATCCCGTTTCAATTGTGCCACGAATTACACATATGATGTTTGTCAATCTTAACAAATAATTTCCGTGTCAAAAAAGTCACAGTTTGTCGTAAAACTGTTGAAATATAAGACTATGAAAAATACGCAACTAGAAAGACTACAAATCCCAGAGTCCCGGTCCCGCATGCTGGCTCTCAGGAACCGACTCACTCCCCTTGTGTGTGTGCACAGCTCTCAACGTGCCCAGACTTGGAGTGATACCTTTTCTGAAATATGGTCCCCCGGAAAGGGAGGGACTTCGCCTTTCTATTTGAGAAGACTAGGATCTCTTGTAGTTGATGTTTAACAACTTAAAAGTATCACACCTGTGTCTATCTTCCCATTTATTTTAAAAAGTACTTCTCTCACACATGTATATGGAAAAGCAGCATGTTTGGTTATCTTTTTAAATGAATGCGTCACGATAAAAAGTCTGAACTAAAGCCCTGCTCCGTGTTGTGTGAATATCTCATCTTAAATCGTACCTGAATCTGCGGTAGACGACCTTCAGATGTCTCAGACGGCCGGTTCCGGTGGTGTTCCTCCTCTTGGCCTTAGCGCTCCAGTTGTCTGCAAAACAAAACCAAAATAAATCCGGTTGAACCAGAAAATTGTCCTTTTTCAAGGCAACTGATAATCATGATGGATCAGATGCTCTGAAGGGTCCCAGCTAGCGAGCACCTGAACTGGTACGGCTTGATATATATATATATATATATATTTCTACTCTTGTGTTGCATGATGGGAGGATAGTTCTGCTCTTCATCAACGATGCTTACCTCAGAGAAATCACTGATATCATTTTGAATCAATTGTTCAGACATTTATTTTTCAACATCATCGGCAAGCAGCATTGATGAGTCTCACAACGAGACCGCAGATCTCAAATCGTACACCTAAACGAGTCGGTTTACCTGCTATGATTCACTGACTGGATATATCTAAGGAATGGTGTTTCTGTCCATTACAGATTCAACGGCGCACTTGCAATGCTTTCAATAAATAGGCCTAAATTATAAGCTTTTAAAAAAAGGCAATTATCGTGAAATTCGGCTCACGTTTTAGACATACTTCAAACACAAGTGAAACAATTCTAATTATCCGACTCCAGCGTCTTTTGAGCATTTTTCTACTTTTGTTCGTCATAAAATCAAGTTGGGTATTCGGGACAATTGCAGAACAAAAGATATTACTTTAAGCCGTTAAGAACAGTTAGAAATACACTACATTGAACGTGTTTAGACTGTCAATATGCACATTGAATTTTATCTCGTTGCGCTGTCATCGCTACCACCTCTGCCTTTACCACTCATATATTAGTGTCTATTTTTTACTGCAGGGAGAGTTGCCAAAGAAATGTCGTTTGTACTTCGTATGATGACAATAAAATATATATTCTATGGAAGTTGTGATGGTAATTTTTTGACATGATCGCAGAGTATTCAATAACAGTTTTGGGCATTGAAGAAAACACGTTATTGGGTCACTTACACTTCCTCTTGCGCTTCTCGGGGTAGCCACACTTGCCGCAGGAGGACTTCTGCAGATGGTAAGCCTTGGATCCACAACGACGGCACAAAGTGTGCGTCTTGTTCCGGCGCTTTCCGAAAGATGAAGTTCCCTTCGTCTAAAAGGAGGTGGGAATAAATAAAAAGAGGCAATCAGAAAAACAATTCCCACAGATTTCTATCATCAAGAGTTAGAGAGCTCTGCATGGTCTTGTCTCAGAACAGAAGTGTGAATCACAGGAAATCATATGTTCAGACATTTGTGTTTGGAACATCACAGACAAGACTCTGAGCAACAAACACATGATGTGTAACGTAAGGGATGCGATATGGATCTGTGCTCAAACAGATTCACTTAGTGGACACATTAAGTACACCTGTAGTAGAAGCCATTAGAGCTACTCTGCCATTAAGTGTACTTTCAAGATGCCTATTGTTAACACCAGTTGTTAGGTTTTAAGCTAATTATGTCAACATTGAGTCGAAAGTAGTGTTGTTACACTGACTACATTATAGTGGGGTGTTTTGCCACCTCATGCACACAAGTAGGAACACAGAAACGCCTCAATATAGAACCGTAAAGTTAAAAACATGTGCATTATTACGTTTTAAAATACAAAGCACCAAAAAGGCATCATCCTGTTTAACTCTATGTTCTGGTGGTGTTTTACCGACTACATTATATTGTGGCGTTTCAACATGTCTGCCCACCTCATGCACATACATAAGATATAAAAGCAGTCAAGTATAACCCTAAACCCTCAAAAGTGCATCGGTTTCGCAAAATACAAACAAGAACTCGTGCTCAACTTTGAATGTAAGAAGTATAGCATTGAACTTCCTTACATTGTACAGGTGTGAGCAAGTTGCCAATTCTTGTTTACATATTATAAGGCACAAAAAGGAATTCCAATTTTCAGTTTTTAGCTACAAAAAAAGCCAGTTTCATGCCTTCAGTGTGTACACTCTGAGGAAGCACACTTAAAGCTAGTTATGCTAACGGCTATGGACAAGCTAGTAAGCATTGTACCTTGCTAAAGCCCAACACCAACAATAACGTAATTTATCTGTAGTAACTTGGCGGGTATAACAGGATTATTTAGAGTACTTTCAACGTTATGTGGTGATTTTTTTACCGGTTAATTTAGGCCCATTTTGCGTACGATCCTGAATGCTAACAGTAGCATCTGAACACTGTCTTCCTAGCAACAGGAACAATGTTATTTTTTTATTAAAATCAACTTTCATCTCGAAAATATTTCACCCAAACGGTAAAGATGATTATCCGACATGGAAACAGCCACAGTTCGTGTCGGATAAATGAAGCATTACTTAGATGTTTGGAGATTTCTCTCCGCCAGCGTTGCTGCTTACCATTTTCGTCCGGTGGCTAAGGGAAAAGAGACCGGAAGGGGCGAGTGTGCCGCTTGAAATCCACTCCGCGCTGCTTCCTGTGTAACACTGAAATGTGTCCCCCGTAGTTAAAGAATAGAAACATATCAGATTTTTTTTCCTTCAATCAAATCGAAATCATTTAAGTCCAATAAGTCTAACTTATTCATATTCTCAACGTTACAAACACTGACTGAACAACAAACTCATAAAATAACAACGAATAATGCATTATTTCTTGGTTTAATTTTATGTTGCTGACGTTTTTTTTGGTAATTTGTTAGTTTTTTCAATGAAGAATAAAAATACAGTTAGTAGAGAATACCATTTATATGTTTGGTTAACCTAATTTAATATATTGTCTAGTGTGTTGTTTAATTGATTTCATGTAGCCTACTATGTGGATTTCTACATTGTGTTCAACCTGCCGTGTTGTTTATAAAATATTTCAAAAATTAAACCTAGCCATACGCCTAATATAGAAATGCAATCATAATTATGACACAAAATAAAAACAGATACTTAAAACCCAGTGTAAACATATATGTTATAAAAGACCATTGATCATTTGTAACCCAGCGCACTCACAAAGAGGAAGCCATGGAAAATGTGTGTTTAATGGAATTACAATTACACACAAAAAACTCTAGCTTAGGATCAGCATACTTGTTTTGTCGGCCTTATGCATCTTGAATTTACTATATCATGTATACACACACAATACGAGGAAGCAAGGGTCAGTAGGAACCAATAACGTTTTATTCCAGCAGGTTAATCAATTCACACTCATGATAACAAGTCAATACAGAATCAAACCGTGGATAAAGGACAGAAATTAGCTGTCTTTGCAGGGTATCTGGTTCACTCTACAAACTATCCCTTGTGTTGAACCCTCTTGTGTATTTCCCTTTGGAGATATAATGTCCTGCAGGAGGAGCTGTAGGGCAGAACTCTGCAGCTAGACTACTAACGAATACCAAAAGGAGGGAACACATTAGTCCTGTCTTAGCTATTCTACACTGGCTTCCTGTAACTTTTAGAATTGATTTGAAGGTGCTTCTCCTCATATACAAAGCTCTAAATGGACAAGGACCCAGCTACATTGCTGACTCTCTAATGAACTACACACCCGCCAGAACACTGCGATCATCAAATGCAGGTCTATTAGAGGTCACCAGAAAGAGTCATAAGAAGATCGGTGATGCAGTCTTTGTAAACTACGCCCCAAAACTGTGGAACATGTTACCCAACAATATTAGGGAACCCAATACATTAGGCATTTTTAAAAGGCAGCTTAAACCCGATCTCTTTACCAAAGCATTTGACTGATTTTACACTATTATACTGCACTATTCTCTGTGATTGACATTGCACTATTTCTCTATGTTTTATTCCCCATGTTTTTATTTTTAATTATTTTATCCCACTTTATGCTTTGCTCTTGCTGCTTGTTTTACACTGATTTTATGTCTTATGTTTTACTGATGTAAAGCACTTTGAACTGAAATCCCCTGTATGAAAGGTGCTATACAAATAAAGTTATTATTATTAGAACCGGAGGAACTGCATACTGTCTGCAATCTGGCCAGAGATCCTCAGGTCCTGAAGGCATTTGGTGCACATCAGGAAGTCTGCTTTCTTCTTCTGACCCAGATAGGCTCACTGGCAGAAAATAAATTGAATGGCTAAAGCGTGTAATGCTGCTGGTGTTTCCAATTGACTTTTCGGTGGTTCAAGATGCAGAAAGCTTAAAGTAACACCACTGAAATGTGCTTAACAGATTTGGCTAATCACTACTTGAGATTCAGGGCTGATTACACTTCAGTAGTCTGTTACAAAAACTCACACGATTGATGGTGTTTTGGTCAGGGCAATGTGGATTGTTTTGATTATTTGTTATACTTATATGATGTTCAAGTGATTTATATTATAATAGTTGATGCATGCTGTTGTGAGTGTATGTGTGTGTGTGTGTGTGTGTGTGTGTGTGTGTGTGTGTGTATTTTAAAACCACTGTTAATGCACTTCCTGTGGCTTAAATAGGTTTATTGTGGGACTGCATATTTCATATTTGTTTAATATTTATGATTGCTTTGTGGCTGTTTTGTGTACTGCTCCTCAACCATCCAAATGTCCCAAAATGGCACGACAACGTATTCCAATATTTCCACATTTTAATTAAAACATTCTGTCTCGATAATGATGGTCTGTCAGGTATTTACCTCCCACACTGCACCTCTGCTGCTTGTAAAGGTGCAAATGGCCAGATGGGTTTTGATGACACATTAAAACAGCTGTCAGGGTGGACAATGGCAGAGATCAATAGCACTAATAAAGTCTCCTTCTGTCAGGACCTTGGCTTTTAAGGAGCTGCAGCTGTGAGCTTTCAACAATGCTGCTCTCAAGGGTTTCAATTGGCTGACAAGGCCGTAAAACAAGCACTAAAATAAAGCCATTATGCAGAATGTAATCATGCATACAGGAAATAGACGCATGCTGAGACCTCAAACCAGCTGCAGGAAGGAAAGCATGCACAGTGGTTTTGCATGGAATCTCATTTTAGATAATGTAACACAGTTTTAGTGACTGGGACATTTGGACCAGCGTAAGGAGGTCAGGTGAGCCAGGTGTGTGTATTTGTTTTATTTAAAGATTCAATTCAATGCAAAGCTTTATTGTCATTTGCATTAGCTACAGTTATACAGTTATTATGGATGTTCTTTAAAAAGTTCAGGTGTTTAATAGTCTTATGGCCTGTGGGATAAAACTGTCCCTAGTCTGGTGGTTTCAGAGCCCAGGTGTGTGTGTGTGTGTGTGTGTGTGTGTGTGTGTGTGTGTGTGTGTGTTTCAGAGCCCAGGTGTGTGTGTGTGTGTGTTTCAGAGCCAGGTGTGTGTGTTTCAGAGCCCAGGTGTGTGTGTGTGTGTGTGTGTTTCAGAGCCCAGGTGTGTGTGTGTGTGTGTGTGTTTCAGAGCCCAGGTGTGTGTGTGTGTGTGTGTTTCAGAGCCCAGGTGTGTGTGTGTGTGTGTGTGTTTCAGAGCCCAGGTGTGTGTGTGTGTGTGTGTGTGTTTCAGAGCCCAGGTGTGTGTGTGTGTGTGTGTGTGTGTGTGTGTGTGTGTGTGTGTGTTTCAGAGCCCAGGTGTGTGTGTGTGTGTGTGTGTGTTTCAGAGCCCAGGTGTGTGTGTTTCAGAGCCCAGGTGTGTGTGTGTGTGTGTGTGTTTCAGAGCCCAGGTGTGTGTGTGTTAAAGCACCCAGATATTGTTCTAAACTGTATTAAAGTAAACAGGTATTATCTTGAACTGTATTGAAGTGAACATGTATTATTTGGGACTGTTTAAAGTAATCCTATATATATATAAACCTTCTTACTTACACTCCATAACCCAGAGACCCTGACACACACACATACACCCCCTCCTGTCTTCATGCAGCACACACACATAAACTCCTCAACCCAGATATCAGCAACACACACACATATGCCTCTGCTTATCAGCACACACACACACACACACATACACTTTCCCTCACTAACACACACACATGTTCTTTTTCAAGGTTCCTTGCTGGGAATAATCCGAAGCACCAATATTTCTGTGTACAATGTTTGATTGTTTTAAAAGAATAGTTTGTGTGAAATCTTCCCTGGGAAAGTAAAGGAGTTAACCCAGGTATAAGATACAAAGTGATTCTGACCTTGTATAGTTCCGATGCTGTCACGCTCTGTTCAGAAGAAAGATACTTTTTCCCAGAACTCTAATTTGCTTAGGAGTCAAATGGGACGGAAGAGCCGACACATCTCCACCTCCAAATATATCCATATATACTGTTGTTTCTTCATGCAAAAGGCCCCCTGTTTCTGACTGGCTGGTCCCGATACCTGCATCGCACAGCAGTAGAACTGGGAGTCCGGAGTACTCTGTAAACTTGTATTGGTGTTTTTTACCATTAAAATCAGATTATTGTTATAACTTTATGCCGGTGTGTTGAACTCCCTCTTTTATCAATCTGACCAGGCTCATCTAACGGACGGCGCGGAGCAGAGGTGGGCTTTAAGCCACCACTATTGTGTTTGCTCCTACAGTGTGTGTGTGTGTTTCAGAGCCCAGGTGTGTGTGTGTGTTTCAGAGCCCAGGTGTGTGTGTGTTTCAGAGCAAGGTGTGTGTGTTTCAGAGCCCAGGTGTGTGTGTGTTTCAGAGCCCAGGTGTGTGTGTGTGTGTGTGTGTGTGTGTGTGTGTTTCAGAGCCCAGGTGTGTGTGTGTGTGTGTGTGTGTGTGTGTGTGTGTGTGTGTGTGTGTGTGTGTGTGTTTCAGAGCCCAGGTGTGTGTGTGTTTCAGAGCAAGGTGTGTGTGTTTCAGAGCAAGGTGTGTGTGTTTCAGAGCCAAGGTGTGTGTGTTTCAGAGCCCATGTGTGTGTATATTGAGAGTAAGGTGTGTGTATATTCAGAGCCCAGGTGTGTGTGTTTCAGAGCCCAGGTGTGTGTGTTTCAGAGCAAGGTGTGTGTGTGTGTGTGTGTGTGTGTGTGTGTGTGTGTTTCAGAACCCAGGTGTGTGTGTGTGTGTGTGTGTGTGTGTGTTTCAGAGCCCAGGTGTGTGTGTGTTTCAGAGCAAGGTGTGTGTGTTTCAGAGCCCAGGTGTGTGTGTGTGTGTGTTTCAGAGCAAGGTGTGTGTGTTTCAGAGCCCAGGTGTGTGTGTGTGTGTGTGTGTTTTCAGAGCCCAGGTGTGTGTGTTTCAGAGCCAAGGTGTGTGTTTTTCAGAGCAAGGTGTGTGTGTGTGTGTTTCAGAGCCCAGGTGTGTGTATATTGAGAGTAAGGTGTGTGTATATTCAGAGCCCAGGTGTGTGTGTTTCAGAGCCCAGGTGTGTGTGTTTCAGAGCCCAGGTGTGTGTGTGTGTGTGTTTCAGAGCAAGGTGTGTGTGTGTGTGTGTGTGTGTATATTCAGAGCCCAGGTGTGTGTGTTTCAGAGCCCAGGTGTGTGTGTTTCAGAGCCCAAGTGTGTGTGTTTCAGAGCCCAGGTGTGTGTGAAGGAGAACATGATGACCTTGGGTTTTGGCTGAGTGAGGAGCCTCTGAAGGAGGAGGCGCGCCCCCGGCTGGCGGAGGAAGAAGAGCATCCTGATCCTGCTGCTTCCACATTTCAGTCACGCAGCTTTGCTCAGATTTCAGATGAGGCATGGACGATGTGTTTTTCCTTTCTGTCGCAGACCGTATCTAATGAAGAGAAATCGCGCTTGGCATCGATGCTGTTTGCATGTTTAGGGGATTCGTTGTAGATAAATAACCTTCTGAGTATTTCTCTGCATTTATTGCACCAACAGAGCATCTGCACCTCGGCGAGAGCGACACAAAACAAGAATCTCCTGCGGATCGTTTCATCATTTTAAACCTTTTTCATGCAAAACAAACGAAGATAATCATACTTTTTGGATACATTTGGACTCAGATCGATTTGACATCCATATATTGCGATGCGTATCCTCCAAACGCAATGATGCTGCGGTGCGGGAGCAGTGAAGCAGCCTGAGAGAAGATGCTGGACAATGTGCTGTCTGGGTGGTACAGGACCGTATCAGTAATCTAATGAAAACAAAATCGCTCTTTGCATCGATGCATGTTGCAAATAAAGGGATTCATGGAGAAATAACCGTATTTTTTGGATAATCTGCATTAATTGCACACTCGTCGAAAGCGACAGAAAAGCAGACCCCCCTGTGGATGTTTTTTTTGTTTTTGTTTTACACCTTTGACGTGCAAAGTATACAACAAATCTGCATTAACTGCACACTCGTCGAAAGCGACAGAAAGCAGACCCCCCTGTGGATGGTTTCATGTTTTTTTTTACGTGCAAAATATACAAAAAATTGGACACAGATTGGTTTGATATCGACACACTGCGATGCGTATCATCCAGCAGCATGATGCATGTGAAATAGCCTGAGAGAAGGTGCTTCTGGACACCGTGCTGTCCCGGTCCCCGGTCCTGAATGCACGGGAGACAGACACCGACCCGGGTGTCACCGTCAGCCCCGGATGCTGCGCCGAAGAATGGGATACGCCGACCCCTCGTCGGGTAAAGACATCCTCGGCAATAGGTCTCTTTGTTTTATATTCATTTGCGCATTTGGACTTGTCACGCTATTGCAACAGATTCTCTATGGAAAAAACTACATCAAGAGGTAAGTGTTGTCTGTGTTCAGAGACAATGGGCTGTATAAGGCCTCGGTGTTTACACTGTAAGGATTCCAATGCATTCATAGCCCTTTTAAATGACTGAATGACGTAAATAATGAGTGGTAACATTACAGATTGTCAGTATGGAGTCTGTCTGAAGATGCATGGAGAAAACAAGCTTTAATGTCTGGAAAGAACAAAAGCAATTAACCATCCATCTTTTTTCCCAGTAGCATTTAGAAACCATTGGATTTATTTTGTTGATATTTCTGAAAGCGAAGCATCACATTCATGCCATACACAGAGCTCCTGTAGCTGTGTATGGTAATGTTTTCTCCCCCCCCCCCCCCTCCTCCAAAGACCTTTATTTGATTTTCTTGACTGGTGGTAGCCTACATCTTACAGGTATCAGGTTGAGGTTATAATAAAGCAGCTTGAAGATATTGTAGCCGATGATGATGAGCACAGATATGATGAAGATGATGTGTATTTCTTATTGGTCCCTGTTAAATAAATCACGTCAGCAGTCTGCAGGCAGCACTGCAGAGCCAGGTTTTGTAATAGCTCTGCATCATGAGGCTAGCTTGTTGAGCTGCTCCACTTTGTGCACAAAACACCAATAAAAGCCCTTTTCTTCACACTCTGAGACAGATGTCAGTGTGAGACGAGCAGATGCTGAGAAGCCGGGATGTTTTATCTTTAGGTGGTTACAGGAAATTAAACAAAATGTAAAAACGTTACCCCCCACCTCCAGATGTTACAGCACATATATGTTCAAGCAAAAACATATATGTGGTGTAATCTGAAAGCTAACCCCCGCCAGCTAAACCCCCCCCCCCCTGGTACTCAATGTGGATTCATGGCATCTCCATCACTGCGGTGAGATGCATGAATTCAGACACACACACACACACACACACACACACACACACACACACACACACACACACACACACACACACACACACACACACACACACACACACACACACACACACACACACACACACACACACACACACCTTTCAGGCTCATGCAGCAGCAGCCATTTTGCTACAGTCTGTCTGCACACACCCCCCATAATGCAAGTGGGGGAGAGAGAGGAAGGAGACGAGTGAGAGACTGAGAGGGAGTGGGGGAAATGTGTGAGTGTGTGTGTGTGATGCAGAGAGAGAGAAGACGTCATCTTATGACATCTCTTCAAGCGTAAACAACCAAAAAGCAGCCCACATCATCACTGCGACCACACCCAAAAGAATGACTCAAAATACAGAGAGGGCTGCAGCATTTCCCTAAAACACATTTACCTTCATTATGATGTTTGTTTGGAGTCAAACCCAACATTTACAGTCCTGGTGCTGAAGATTTGAAACCATCATTCAATACCATTCACTCTATTCAGGCAATTTACTGTGTCAAGGTCGCAAGGAGCAATTTAATGATCCTTAAAATCTTAGAAATAAGGTAACAATTAATGTGTTTGAACCAATGCACTGGAGAGCCCAGGAAGTACTAAAAGAGTGTTGTCTTTCTACCGGATCTTTTATCAAATAGGTTAAATATTGCCACCTTTTACTTTCAATTTAATAAGTTTGAAGCCTTAAAGAAGTTTTCTCATATTCTCCCTTAAAGAAAGGAACTTTGCTTTGAACATATGAAGCCCCTCAGATCTCTAAAATGAGTTACAACATCTCCATGATGAGAGGATTGTGCACCAAATGGCCTCCTCTGATAATTTCCCCGTGATGTTTGCAGTGAAAATTGAAGCATTACAGGCCAAGAGTTTAAGTCTGGATGCAGCCGTTCTGATTAGACACAGACAAGTGTCAAGTCAAAGTCAGCTTTAGTGTCAAAATTACTACATGTGTTATACATCCAGAAATCTCGAGATACCGTTCCCGCAGTCCCACAGTGTGACATACATACAACAAAACAAAAAGGGCCTAGATAAACGGGGTGCTAAGAACCACCCAGACTCTTTTCCTGCTAAAGTACTGGTAGGTATTTTCAGGGAGTCACAGGAAAAACATCTTTGCAAATGACCGTCATTTAAAAAGAAGGCAGCAGAGGAGACATGTGGATGCTTAGATTGAGAGAAAGCTAGAAAACATCTTTGCAAATGACCGTTATCTCGAAAGGCAGCGAAGGAGACGTGTGGGTGATCGAACGAAAGCTTAGTAAGTGAACGTTTCATTACACTTCCATGAGCAGCTCACTTTACATGACCTGAGGGCAAAGGGCAATGCTCTTAAGGCGCTCAAACTAAGTGAGGAACATTGTGAACTAGAGTCACATTAATCAACGGCCTTCTCTTACTTTGAGATGAAGTAAATGTCGGATTGTGAAATGGCAGACTCAAGAGGAAAGCGTATTAAATGATCCCAGTGAGTGACACTTCTGCAAATGAAGATATGTTTGTTTGACTCGTTTTGAAGAGGGCGATATTTAAGAATAGTCTCGTGCCCTGTGTCGGGTTGGTTTGTAACCATCCAAAAAACAAGTGGATTTGCGACGTTTGATAATCATTTGATCATGTTATATATGTATCACAGTTATCTGAGAGGTCAAGGACACATCTTTGAAATGCTAGTCTGTCTCACCATCAGTCCAAAAAGAAATACAATTCACGTTATATAAAACAAAGAAAAGCAGAAAATCCTGCTGAAAAAACCTAAAACCAGCGACTATTTGACATTCTTAAATGATGACTTATCTATTGGCTTTACCTTCCCATTGTGTCCCTCTGACTGTATGTTGTGAGCCCCTATGTATTTGGGCTATATCTTCACTATTTTGAGCAACCTCTTATGTGTTTTTAAGGGCTGTACATGTAGATTTTGCACATTGCAGCACTAGTTCATAATTTATAAGATGCAGTACTTCCACCAGCCATTCCCTGTAAAACAAAAGCCACGAAAGGAGAGCTCCCATCAAAAACAACCGCGTTACATTTCCTGTTTGCATAGAGACAGTCAGGTGGCCATCTTAAGGAGCTCTGTGTTTTTACAGGAAAGACCTCAGGGTATTTAATCAGACTGTCAATGTGCCAGAGATACTCTTAAAATAAGCCAAGTCACTAAATCCCATAGTCCTTCCTGCTTTCAGGTCCCATTAACGAGGCTCGGGGCAGAATCAGAGCACATTAACTCGACTCTTGTTGTTGTTTGTCCGATCTAATGCTTGGATTAGTGTCTGAACTGCGCTCATAATTGAGTCACGGGAGATAAATGGTCTCTCTTCAGGTTTGAGTCGAAGACAGTGGATTGATGTGTGTGTCCAAGGAAGCCACATGAGATTGATTAAGGTTTTATCCGTAGCCACAAGATTGGGAAATATCCGTTTATGTATTATTGTCGAATCAAGCTGTAAGGGAGTGTTTTGGTGACGATTAAAGAGGCCCTATTTTCCTTTTCCCTTTCAATACAATAATACAATACAAAGGGGCTTTATTGGCATGACCACAGTCTCCCTCCGCAGCCGGTTGGCGTAGTTTTGGCACAAGTCCGTTGTACTGACCGACGTTAACAGCAGCCCTGTCTGTGCACACGGAGACCGACTCTGTCGTCCGGTGATCTAACCGCCTTCTGGAAAAGCTTCACAAGTACGTCGGTACGCAAATGCGCTTAGTGACACAAGTGACGGTACGCATTTCAGATTTTTGCCGCGCCTGCGTACCAGTTATGTGCACCCCTACAAAAACTAAAAGAAACACTAAACATAAATGTCAACAATACATATATGTATAACACAACACATACTGTAGGCTATATGCCAACAACGTACAAATACAAATACACATATTATTCCTCTTGTGTGTTATATAGGTTTCTGTGCATGTAAACGGTCTGCTAAGGCTACAATTTGACTTCTTTGTTTACTTCCTTAACATATTGACATCACTATGGATCACTCACGCTCCTATTGGCTAGCGTTCCAACACATTGTACATGATAGGCTAAGGGGCGGGACATCTCTAAGCAGGTTGACCAATCACAACAGAGCTGGCCAGCTAACCAATCAGAGCAGCTCTTGTTTCACACTGATATATGAACTTGAAAACGAGTAGAATACATTTTAAGATGCATGCTAATATACATCGTGCAGGTTTGATGAGCTTTTCTGTCAACCTGTCCTCCTAAAGCGAGGCACGGACACATTTCTGACTCGTGGGTGCAGCTGTTTGCAAAGTGTCATTGAGGAGGTTAAGTGGCACTGAGGAAATGCGCCTGCAGATCAGTATTGTCCCAGAATAATGACTGCTCGATCACATAAAGGCTCTCTGGATTCGGATTTAGCACAACGCCCACTGAGCACTCTCAGAAATGAGTCACACATGAATCATAATCAGCTGGTAACGGGAGAAAATGGTGTATCGTCTGTTCACAATCGCAGTTAAACAACCAACCTTTAGATTTTTAAAGGGTTCAATAAATCCCAGGTGTTTCCAAAGCCTGATATCGTTTATTTCTCTGTTCCATTGACCTGCATTTATGTCCAAAGAAATACTCAAAATACAGAAATGTGCCATGCCATTTCACTATAGGTGACATTTGTCTTGATTAAACATTCTGTACATATGGCAGCAACAAAGACATATATATGTAACGCATTATAGCAGAAAGTAACGACTCAAATGTACCTCAGAAGGGTTGCATTTCATGATATGACTACTGTAGATATTACTGATTTAAATGAAGGTTAAAAAGAATAGTAAAAATAGCTTTATTGATCAATTTCTTTATTTTTGGCTGCTTAAAATAAGTCTATTGAAGGATGTTTCCGTGGCCCTCTGCCCAGGTCTAAAGAAAGAAATTAGAGGAGACACTATTGACTAAATGTTTTTGGCTGATTTGAAAACATAATGTACATTTTGCACATTTCAATGCCAGTTTCTTCACTTATTTTAGTCATAATTCAATTAAATCTCCTAATGATAATGATGTTTCTTTTGAGACAAACCCGACGTCCAGAGTCCTTGTGCAATACATATTGAACCAACAAGTGATTTATTGAATTATCCAATAACTGGTTGTTCTAAAATAGGGATAAATATGCATCCCAGTTTCTCAAAGTCTAACTAGTATTCAGTCCAAAACCCACACATATTTACTTTAATATAAGATAAAACAGAAAAGCAAGAAATCTCCGTATCTTAGGACGCTTAAAAACTGCATTTCTTTAGACATGACTTTAATGATTCACTTATGATTGGAATCTACTGCTCTCCTCATCTCTCTAAAATTAGAAGTGACAACATCCTCTTGATGTGAAGGCTATGAATCACCAACATGTCCTCTGATATATTCACTGTGATGGTATAGGGAGAATTTATGCAACAGAGACAAGAATATCCAGACAACCCAAGTCCTTAAAGGTGGGTAGGTACGTTTGAGAAACCGGCTCGAGATACGCTTGTTGTTATATTCCATGGAATGCTCTTAACATCTCGATAGCAATGAATACATGAAATGCTTTGACAATAAATACATAAAAATATTTCATCAGTGGAAGCCGTAGCGCTGTAAAAAGCACGACCAATCATCTGAGCCGGCCCGGCTAAAATAACTGGATGGCCTACCTGCCTGTCAGCCTTCCATCTGATCTCGTGCCCTCATTGGTCATGTGCGCGTTCGTGTGTGTTGGAGGAGGGGCTCTGTAAGGAAGTGGCAGATTTTTTCCGGTTGTGTATTTTCAAATTCTAGCTCACTCGAGTTGGTTTCTCCGAAATGACCTACCCCACCTTTAACTTGGGATAACCTCTGTTTTCATCACCTTTAAAAGTGATATACTGCATAAAAGTATGTTCAATAAAAAGCCTCGTAGAAAGTCTGTTGGCCTTCTCGTCCTCTGCAGTCATTTGCAATTCACAGAAACACTTTCCACAAGTTCTACTCCTCTCTTAAGACCCCGTGATTTACATATTCAACACTCCGGCTGCAGGGCAATAAAGCCAGTGGGAATGTTGGAATCACACCGAGCACAAATGAACCATTGAAACCATGACGTCATTAACAGGAAATCCATTTTGTTAACCATGTTTGGTGTCATACTTTTTTTCTTGAGCCAAAAAGCTGGTCCCCCTCATGTGTGTGTGTGTGTGTGTGTGTGTGTGTGTGTGTGTGTGTGTGTGTGTGTGTGTGTGTGTGTGTGCGTGTGTGTGTGTGTGTATTTAAGAAAGTGGTTGGTATGTTTTTTTTTGCACAGCTAAGGAACCAACAAACCCCAAATAAACGTACTTATTTGTGTTACTAGTGCGCAACAGTTTAACCGACTCAAAGGGGACGAGACAGGAAATTGGACCGGTCCCGTTAATTTCTCGGATGACGGATCTCTGAAGCCGGCCAGAAATGGAAGGAAAAGGTACCTTCACCCGTGTGCACAACACCTCCGTGGAAAGAGAGTGTGTGAGGGAGAGAGAAAGAGTGTGTGTGTGTGTGTGTGTGTGTGTGTGTGTGTGTGTGTGTGTGTGTGAGATATATATGAAGTAACAATACATGGTAGTTGTGCCTCAGCCCTGCATGTGACTGGGCTTCTCCTCAGATGCTACAGACAGTTGAAGCTGCAGCATATGTACACTTTTGTTGCTGTTTATGAGCAAGGAGGGTGGACGCCATCAACACATATTTAACTCTAACTTAACCTGTCTGCATGTTGACAGATGTTTCCGTCAGAATTTTCAGCCAGATTCACAGACCGTAATAGTCACACCCTGCCTATCCGATATTAAGAAGAAACAAAAGAAAAGGTAGGACAGTCTGAAGGCATTTTTTAGTACTTTCACAGAAACCCAAGAATGCCTCTTTATTTTTCATTACTCTGAAAGGTATAAACTCTCATATTTTTTCAGTGGTGGTTGCACTTCAGATGTTGCTCTTGCATGTTGTCTGATCCCGTCCACCTCGACCTCCCCCCAAAATCTCACATTACCCCCAGAAGCTGGTTGAAAAAAGTCTCCTGTTGATGTACTGGCTTCTCTCTCCCGTACGTCTGTTTCCATCCAGCACCCATTTGCCGAATGCTCTCAATCTGTGTGTCATGTGTTCTGCACAGATGTGTGTTTATGCCATAGACACTTCTCTCTGCTCCCCCCCTATCTCCCCCTTCTCACATCTGCATTGTCTCTCTCTGCGAACCTGGATTTTTAACTTCTTTAATCTCCTGTGCAATATTTTCTGCACAAAAAAGCTTCTAAATTGTCTCATTCTGGATTGGTTTTGAACCCATAAAACACCATAAGATGAAATTCTGTCTTGCTGTTAGATACAAACTGAGAACACTTGCAAAGGTTTCATCATCGCAGCTAAAACAAGTGTTTGATTTATTATATTTATTATGGTAAAAGCTCAGAAATACACTGCATCATCAGGTGGATGTAGACAACCAGTTTCATTGTTCCATATTTCATCCATGCATCTTGTTCCTTTAATGCATCCCTCCATTGTATTGCTCGCTGTGTTCTTTTATTATAATTATAATTATTATTATAAGTTCTTTAATTTATAACTCGCTCCTCATTTACCTCCACAGCCACAGGTAATATTGTGCAATATTACCCATCTTCCAAAATGCTGCACTCCATCTTATATATCTGATGTGATTAAAAACAACAACATTCATTCTTACAATTACACATTGCATTAAACATTCAAATTAGAAATATATATTAAATTCAATAAAGCTCTACTGTCCCTGAAAGGAAATTCTTGTGCAGCAAAAACGGAGGAAAAAAAAAATGCAGAAATATATTGTTTATAGAGAGGCGAAGTCCCGCCCATCTACTTCCGCCCCATGGGACCTTATTTCAGAAAAAGTATTGAAGTCAATGAGAGAGAAAGATTATCTTTCCATCCCGTTTGAATTGTGCCACGAATTACACATATGATGTTTGTCAATCTAAACAAATCATTCCCACGTCAAAAAAGTCACAGTTTGTCGTAAAACTGTTGAAATATAAGACGATGAAAAATACGCAACTAGAAAGACTACAAATCCCAGAGTCCCGGTCCCGCATGCTGGCTCTCAGGAACCGACTAACTCCCCTTGTGTGTGTGCACAGCTCTCAACGTGCCCAGACTTGGAGTGATTTTCACCTCTTTTAATACTTTCCGCCTCGTTCTGAAAGAAAGAAGTGAAATGTTTCAACGTGACGGCCGTCTGGGTGTGTGGAGCGAGACGGGAGATGTAGTTCATTGAGCGGTTTCACACAAACAAAGTGTTACTTCAGTTTTACGACACATTTTAATTTTTTTGACTTTCAAAATGATCTTTTAAATTGACAAACATCATATGTGTAATTCATGGCTCAATTCAAACGGGATCGAAAGATAACTTTTCTCTCTCATTGACTTCAATACATACTTTTTACGTAATAAGGTCCCATGGAGGAAAGTACGGTGGCTGAGAGGTGCAATCGACACTTTAACAAAGCTTGAGACAAATTTACATTTTATAAAACACTTTTACCAAAGAAAAAAAAAAGTATTTAACATTAACAAAAACAAATTAACAAGATGTGAAACACTTTTACAAAGCTAGAGATACATTTCTCAAAACACTTTAACATTTCCCGAAACACTTTAACGGTCTATCCGCCAAAACAAACTTAAGTTTGAGTCAATCACTTGCACGTCACTTCTGGTATGATGGGCATTCCCTTTCCGGTTTGATGCTCTAGTTTGTTAAAGTGTTTCGACACTTGTAAATTTGTCACCTCAGAAGGGTTGCATTTCATGATATGACTACTGTAGATATTACTGATTTAAATGAAGGTTAAAAAGAATAGTAAAAATAGCTTTATTGATCAATTTCTTTATTTTTGGCTGCTTAAAATAAGTCTATTGAAGGATGTTTCCGTGGCCCTCTGCCCAGGTCTAAAGAAAGAAATTAGAGGAGAGACTATTGACTAAATGTTTTTGGCTGATTTGAAAACATAATGTACATTTTGCACATTTTAATGCCGGTTTCTTCACTTATTTTAGACATAATTCAATTAAATCTCCTGCTTTAACATTACATGGCAACTTTTCTGTAGCAATACAATACTTTTTTAAGTCTTCCAAGTAAACACTTTCTTTATACATGCTAAAAAAGTCCTTTCAACTCCCACTAAAAGCCAATACAAACCACCATACCGAAGATTTGTGTTGCCATTTCAATGTAATAACTGTTCAAAGTAGTTAATTAGATTATTTAGCTGTAGTTAAACATATGAATGACTCCCTATGGGCTCCAGTTTCCATGAACATCTGTTTTCATATATTTATGTGCACAATATATGCAAACATGTCAACATTTCCAGCATAATTGACTGATGAAATTCGCTTTTTGCAGCTAAATGTATAAATATCCTGCCTTACACAAACACACACACTCTCTCTCATACTAATATCCACTAGAAATATACCCTGCTATTATCTTATCCTCCATTTTAACAAATCTATGCTCTGCAATCAACTCCTTTCCCCTTTCAGACTAATTTCTGCTTCTCTCTCTAAATCTAAATGCAGCATTTAAATCACATTTAAGTGGTAAACCATGCATCATAACTAATACATACGTAAAAATATGAGAGGTGTTATTTTTCTGCAGTTTTTGGTTGAGACTAAGATGTCAGCTGGTGCAAGTGTGCAGAAAAGTTCCTTTAAGTGACGCCTTAAACCAGCTGCATCACTTCTGTCATCCCACAATGCAACACTGATAGTCAAGTATTTCATTGACATTTGGCGTTAAAGCTAAGTTATTTATTTTTACATATATATTGCATTTTATCTCCACAGTCTATTAGCTCTGCTGATTGTGTTGTGTGTGAGAGGTTTAGGCCGCGCATGACGTTGTTTTTCCCCCCAGGTATCTGGAAAACTACGATGGCTCATATGAGTACAACTCCACTGCATGCAGGGAGCTCAGGCAGGAGATCATGGACGTCAAAGTCCTGTCAATGTGAGTGTTTACTGTGTGAAGTGGAGAGAATAACGTCTTTTTTTCCTTTAGGTGATCGTCTGACTCCTTTAAAGGGGACCTATCATGCAAAATGCACTTTTTGATGAATCTGGATCGGCTCCGTTGTTCCCCCGTTTTTAGAGATTTGGGTACGGAGGAAAAGAGAAAGGTTTTTATTTCCTGACGCTGCGTGAGTTCCCTGACACACCGGGGACACATCTTTATGTATAAAAGACATCAAAAAGTTCATTTTGCATGATAGGTCCGCTTTAAGCATTAGGAAAAGCACTATACAAATCCCATGTGTTATTATTATTATCTATATAAATATTTTATACAATTTTATTTATTTACTTTTCCTTTATTTTAAAATGTATTTCATATTTTATTCTATATTTAATATTTATTACTTTTTATGTTTATATCAATATTTGCAATTAATTTGTATTTATATTTTATTCCATAATGGAGCAACCGTCAGAAACCCAATTTATCCTGATTGTGATGATGATCAGGGCCGCCGCTTGCGAACAGGCAAGGCAGGCCGCTGCTTGGGGCCCCGGACCAGAAGGGGGCCCCCAAAGAAGGTAGATTAAGAAGGTCCACAGCAACGACAACATGAAACACCCTTTAATTTACTGCAACGACATGTCGGGAAACCCCCTCAAGGCGGCCCCATGCACAGCGCGCCGTCAAATGCTGCCTTGCTCCGCTCCAGGGGGCTGTTGATGATTAATTTATGATGTTTAAATTCCTGAATACACTTGAATCTTAAGGAAATATGAACTACAACTCTTCTTCTAAAATAGTAGTCGAACATATGTGTGTGTTACCTTATAAGATGTTGTTAAATGTTGTCTTTGTACCATGAGGTCTGTGAAAAACTCTTTGTTTTAGTATGTCAAATATTTATTATGTGGAACGGGGACTTTCTTTCCACGTCCCATAAAAACTAGAATAGAGATTATAGCGAGGCGAAAAGCCGTGCAATTATCCTCGTTAAGCCTTTTAAACATTTAATAAGAAGCAGAAAAAGCAATTATAGATATCAGAAATGTCTTTTTGACCAGTTACAATTTCAACGAATTAGGAACGACTTGCAGCTAATGATGTCATTTTGAATGCAGTATTCTTAACGATGATTAATGACCGGTTAATTTGAGATATCTGTGATTTAAGAACAGCTAATTATCGTTAACAATGGATTCCTACTTTGACTCAATGACACATAAATCAATGTGTGAACTGTCATTTCCAGGAGTGAAAACTAAATAGGTTCCTACTAAACGTATGCTCACATGCTAACAAGCTAACAAGCTAACAAGCTAACAATGACAATAATTGCAGACCGAAAAGGGAAATGTTTTTTTTATTTGATACACAGGCGGGTTATAAAGCAAACATTCTGCACACAAGTATTTGAATCATTATCGTGATTTATTCTATCAATCAATTTCTAGTCTGTTGATTCTTATCAGTCAATAAAAGCGTTTTCCATTAACCTGAAAGCTGCTTTCCAGCTGAATCTGAACTGATGTTGAGACTGTAACTTAGTGAGACGATTCTTGAGTGTAAGTTATTTCACTCTCTTTTCACTTTTTAATAATCGTTAGTGATCAAATGGCGGGGACTAGACTATCTAATAAATAGCAAACACCAAATCCCAACATTAGCAATGGTTCAATCTAATCACATGACATGCATTTCATGGCCAGCACTTTACAGCTGATATATGTCCTTCTCACAGAGATGGCAACAGTACACACATCCTTTACTCAAGTAGAAGTACAGATACTCGTGTTTAAAAATACTCTGGTGAAAGTAGAAGTACTGATTAAACTTCTTCACTCAAGTCAAAGTAAAGAGGCTTTGAAATGTACTTCAGTAAAAAGTACCCATAACTAGCAGCTGTTTTAAAGAGTACCTGACCTCCCTTTATATCAATAGAACAATAATGTCATTGTTAGCTAATGAATGTTTCCATGCTGAACAACGGCAACATGACAACGTTTCCATTGGTCCCTCTTCTTTAGAGAAGACCAGGAAATGATGGATACACGGATCGTGTTCAAATCAATAGGCACGCAATGACTCTAAAGAATAATGATCACGCATCAAACACACATTCAAACTAAAGGAACCAGCTGTTTGGAAAATGAGAGAAGTAGAAAGTACAAGTATTTAGGTATTTGAGTTCAACATGTAAGAAGTAGAAAGTACAGGTATTTGAGTTCAACATGTAAGAAGTAGAAAGTACAGGTATTTGAGTTCAACATGTAAGAAGTAGAAAGTACAGGTATTTGAGTTCAACATGTAAGAAGTAGAAAGTACAGGTATTTGTGTTCAACATGGAAGAAGTAGAAAGTAGAGGTATTTGGGTTCAACATGTAAGAAGTAGAAAGTACAGGTATTTGTGTTCAACATGTGAGAAGTAGAAAGTACAGGTATTTGTGTTCAACATGGAAGAAGTAGAAAGTAGAGGTATTTGTGTTCAACATGTAAGAAGTAGAAAGTACAGGTATTTGAGTTCAACATGTAAGAAGTAGAAAGTACAGGTATTTGTGTTCAACATGGAAGAAGTAGAAAGTAGAGGTATTTGGGTTCAACATGTAAGAAGTAGAAAGTACAGGTATTTGTGTTCAACATGTGAGAAGTAGAAAGTACAGGTATTTGTGTTCAACATGGAAGAAGTAGAAAGTAGAGGTATTTGTGTTCAACATGTAAGAAGTAGAAAGTACAGGTATTTGAGTTCAACATGTAAGAAGTAGAAAGTACAGGTATTTGAGTTCAACATGTAAGAAGTAGAAAGTACAGGTATTTGAGTTCAACATGTAAGAAGTAGAAAGTACAGGTATTTGGGTTCAACATGTAAGAAGTAGAAAGTACAGGTATTTGAGTTCAACATGTAAGAAGTAGAAAGTAGAGGTATTTGTGTTCAACATGTGAGAAGTAGAAAGTACAGGTATTTGAGTTCAACATGTAAGAAGTAGAAAGTACAGGTATTTGAGTTCAACATGTAAGAAGTAGAAAGTACAGGTATTTGAGTTCAACATGTGAGAAGTAGAAAGTACAGGTATTTGTGTTCAACATGTGAGAAGTAGAAAGTACAGGTATTTGAGTTCAACATGTAAGAAGTAGAAAGTACAGGTATTTGAGTTCAACATGTAAGAAGTAGAAAGTACAGGTATTTGAGTTCAACATGTAAGAAGTAGAAAGTACAGGTATTTGAGTTCAACATGTAAGAAGTAGAAAGTAGAGGTATTTGTGTTCAACATGTAAGAAGTAGAAAGTACAGGTATTTGAGTTCAACATGTGAGAAGTAGAAAGTACAGGTATTTGTGTTCAACATGTGAGAAGTAGAAAGTAGAGGTATTTGGGTTCAACATGTAAGAAGTAGAAAGTACAGGTATTTGAGTTCAACATGTAAGAAGTAGAAAGTACAGGTATTTGGGTTCAACATGTAAGAAGTAGAAAGTACAGGTATTTGGGTTCAAAATGTAAGAAGTAGAAAGTACAGGTATTTGGGTTCAACATGTAGAAAGTAGAGGTATTTGGGTTCAACATGTAAGAAGTAGAAAGTACAGGTATTTGTGTTCAACATGTAAGAAGTAGAAAGTACAGGTATTTGGGTTCAACATGTAAGAAGTAGAAAGTACAGGTATTTGTGTTCAACATGTAAGAAGTAGAAAGTACAGGTATTTGTGTTCAACATGTAAGAAGTAGAAAGTACAGGTATCTGTGTTCAACATGTAAGAAGTAGAAAGTAGAGGTATTTGTGTTCAACATGTAAGAAGTAGAAAGTACAGGTATTTGTGTTCAACATGTGAGAAGTAGAAAGTACAGGTATTTGAGTTCAACATGTAAGAAGTAGAAAGTAGAGGTATTTGTGTTCAACATGTAAGAAGTAGAAAGTACAGGTATTTGTGTTCAACATGTAAGAAGTAGAAAGTACAGGTATCTGTGTTCAACATGTAAGAAGTAGAAAGTACAGGTATCTGTGTTCAACATGTAAGAAGTAGAAAGTACAGGTATTTGTGTTCAACATGTAAGAAGTAGAAAGTACAGGTATTTGTGTTCAACATGTAAGAAGTAGAAAGTACAGGTATTTGTGTTCAAAATGTAAGAAGTCAAAGTAAAAAGTCGTCAGAAAAATAAGTAGTGGAGTAAAGTACTAATACCAGAACAATGTACTTAAGTACAGTAACGAAGTATTTGTACTCCACTACTTCCCACCTCTGGTTAAATCTAAATCACATGACATGCATTTCATGGCCAGCCTGTCACAGCTGATCTCCTCTTCTACTGCCAGGTTTCCTGCAGCTCTCTATAAATAATTACCACATTATGGAGCAGACTTTAGATTCAATGAGCCGCGCTGCGCTGACTGAAACTCGAGCGCTAACGTTTCCTCTATGAATGTGAACATTGTCCAGTGACCTTTTGTGCGTGTCCCTCGGTCTGCCAACACTTTAATGCCAGATGCATTCTGGGTGCTCGATGGAGGGCCGCGAGGCAGAGAATAGCTGCCGTCACTCTGCCAGAAAAAAGCAGTTTAATGGAGCCTCCCTGAGCGAATCACATCCCAAAACCTCAGAGGAAGAGTCAGTCCAAGGGCAGCTATTAACAGACAGTGTGAAGCCTGGCTTTTTATTATATCAATGTTGAATACCCCGACGTTTTATGATAGAAATGTATAATAAGGGTCCCCAGCACATTGAAACTACTGGACGCTAACTTGTATATGTTGAGCAATTTGCACAAGTTGCGTTAATAAGCCTATGCAGACACAAGCAAAAAGAATGGCTTGTGCGATTTGGAACATTTTGGAGTGGCTTTGGAGGTTATTGAGGATGCAGAATCAAGTTCTGACATTTTTAGGGTCAAAGAGTCCCATACAACTTTAAAACCGACTCAAAATGAATCAAAACAGCCCACAGAGAATTCAAATATGGCCACTTTCTGATTAAAACTGATATTTCTGACCCTGAAAATGTCAGAAATTCATTAAACATCCTCAATAACCCACAAACGCACTCTGAAATTGTCGTCTATGTTGAGTACCCCAAAGTTTTATGATAGAAATGTATAGTACGGGTCCCCAGCACATTGAAACTACTGGACGCTAACTTGTTGGGCAATTTGCACATTTGGCACAAGGTGTATTCATTTGCATTAATCGGCCCAGACACTAGCAACAACAATGGCTTGTGCGATCTGGAACATTTTGGAGTGGCTTTGGAGGTTATTGAGGATGCGGAATCAATTTCTGAAATTTTTAGGATCAAATATGGCACATTTGAGTCCGCTAAAACTTTAGAATCGACCCAAAATGAATCAAAACAGCCCACAGAGAATACAAATAGGACAACTTTCTGGTTAAAACTGATATTTTGGACCCTGAAAATGTCAGGAATTCATTCAACACATTCAATAACCTAAAAAAACACTCAGAAATTGGCTCAGAAAGCCTGGCCTTGTATTATAGTCTATGTTGAGGATGCTGAATCAATTTCTGAAATGTTTAGGATACAAAATGGCCGTTTCAAGTCCCAGGGAGAACAGATGCCACTTACTGGTTAAAACTACTATTTCTGATCCTGAAAATGTCAGAAACGTATTCAAAATCTCTCAATAACCTCCAAAACAACTACAGAGTTGTCCAAATCAGCCAAGACATTTTTAAGCTATTGTCCGGAAGGCTAAGCAACTTGTGCACATTGTACAAATTGGCAGCCCAACATATGCAAGTTAGCGTCCGGCAGTTTCTATGTGCTGAGGACCCTACTATACATTTCATCATTAAACCTTGGTGTATTCAACATTTCTGGGTTTAAAGCAGGACTCTATGAGCTGGTAAACAGACTATTAAGAAGTCTGGATCCTTTAGCAATGATAAGGCTTTCATTTAATTGTAATGTTTGTGTAACGTTATTTAACCCAATGCATTTTAACGTGTAGCGAAGTATCTGAAATTAGCTCCAGGCTTCTCACTTTTCATTTAACCCTTTTCCAGGTTGCAACGGCATGACATCTTAAATGATAGTGGTGTTATTATTCTAACCAGTTAACACTTTAGGTGCGACGGAGCACAGAGTGTGTGTCTATTTGAGTCATTTTTATGTTGTTTCTTCGATTTACTACCCTTGTAGAAACATTAATCGGAAAATACATGGCCATGGGTATCCTTCCTCATTCCACAAACCTCTCTGCCTGTCTGCCAGGGTCAAAACCTCGGAGCTGTTTGAGAGGTGGAGGAACCTGCAGGTGTGTAGGTGGGCGCAGAGCAAGGAGGAGACCAGCAACTTCAAGTAAGAGTTACTCAGAAACAACCAGAGAGGGCAAAAGTACACACATCCTTTCCTCAAGTAGAAGTACAGATACTCGTGTTTAAAAATACTCTGGTGAAAGTAGAAGTACTGACTAAACTTCTTTACTCAAGTGAAAGTAAAGAGGCTTTGAAATGTACTTTAGTAAAAAGTACCCATAACTAGCAGCTGTTTTAAAGAGTACCTGACCTCCCTTTATATTAATAGAACAATAATGTCATTGTTAGCTAATGAATGTTTCCATGCTGAACAACGGCAACATGACAACGTTTCCATTGGTCCCTCTTCTTTAGAGAAGAGCAGGAAATGATGGATACACGGATCGTGTTCAAATCAATAGGCACGCAATGACTCTAAAGAATAATGATCACGCACCAAACACACATTCAGACTAAAGGAACCAGCTGTTTGGAAAATGAGAGAAGTAGAAAGTACAAGTATTTGTGTTCAACATGTAAGAAGTAGAAAGTACAGGTATTTGAGTTCAACATGTAAGAAGTAGAAAGTACAGGTATTTGAGTTCAACATGTAAGAAGTAGAAAGTACAGGTATTTGAGTTCAACATGTAAGAAGTAGAAAGTACAGGTATTTGGGTTCAACATGTAAGAAGTAGAAAGTACAGGTATTTGAGTTCAACATGTAAGAAGTAGAAAGTACAGGTATTTGAGTTCAACATGTTAGAAGTAGAAAGTACAGGTATTTGAGTTCAACATGTGAGAAGTAGAAAGTACAGGTATTTGAGTTCAACATGTAAGAAGTAGAAAGTACAGGTATTTGAGTTCAACATGTAAGAAGTAGAAAGTACAGGTATTTGTGTTCAACATGTAAGAAGTAGAAAGTACAGGTATTTGTGTTCAAAGAGTAAGAAGTAGAAAGTACAGGTATTTGTGTTCAACATGTAAGAAGTAGAAAGTACAGGTATTTGTGTTCAACATGTAAGAAGTAGAAAGTACAGGTATTTGAGTTCAACATGTAAGAAGTAGAAAGTACAGGTATTTGTGTTCAAAGAGTAAGAAGTAGAAAGTATAGGTATTTGTGTTCAACATGTGAGAAGTAGATAGTACAGGTATTTGTGTTCAACATGTAAGAAGTAGAAAGTACAGGTATTTGTGTTCAAAGAGTAAGAAGTAGAAAGTACAGGTATTTGTGTTCAACATGTGAGAAGTAGAAAGTACAGGTATTTGAGTTCAAAATGTAAAAAGTCAAAAGTCGTCAGAAAAATAAGTAGTGGAATAAAGTACTGATACCAGAAAAAAGTACTTAAGTACAGTAACAAAGTATTTGTACTCCACTACTTCCCACCTCTTCTGAAGTGTTAAATAACCTCCCCTCTCCTCTCTCCTGCAGGATGTCTCTGTCTCGCTGCTGTAACGCTCCCTCCTTCCTCTTCACCACCAAGAGGAACACTCCTGCAGGAACCAAGCTGCGGTACGAGGTGGACACCAGCGGGATTCTGCCCATCACCGCAGAGGTCTTCAAGATGTTCCCCGATGTGAGTTCAACACCTGTGCATGGTTAACAGGAGAGAGGGCAAAAGTACACACATCCTTTCCTCAAGTAGAAGTACAGATACTTGTGTTTTAAAATACTCAAGTCAAAGTAAAGAGGGCTTTGAAATGTACTTAAGTAAAAAGTACCCATAACTAGCAGCTGTTTTAAAGAGTACCTGACCTCCCTTTATATTAATAGAACAATAATGTCATTGTTAGTTAATTAATGTTTCGATGCAAAATGTAAGAAGTAAAAGTAAAAAGTGTTCAGAAAAATAAGTAGTGGAGTAAAGTACTGATAACAGAAAAATGTACTTAAGTACAGTAACGAAGTATTTGTACTCCACTATTTCCCACCTCTGGTTAACAGGACTGTTTGAGTCATTGCAGACATCTTTTCATGTAAAAAAAGTACTTTAAAGTGCGTTGTAATTTGTCTTGAGTTGCATCTAAATGCAGGACTCTTACTTGTACAAGAGTATGCCGTTTTCAATCAGAATCAGAAGCATGTTTATTACCAGGTAGGTTTACACGTACGAGGAATTTGACTTGGTGTCATGGTGCATACATAAAAAATATTGTAAAATATCACTGAATTAACGCACAAAACCTTGATATTAGTAGTTTATCCAAAGTAATTATCCGAATACTTCCTCCACGACTGCTATATGTTCCCCCATATATGTTGGCTTTTGTATAATTCTATTGGTTTGGTGATTAAGATTTACTGATTCCCATAATGTCTGTCTGAAAACCTGCCTCGCATACTCCACTTGTTCTTAAGTAACGTTTAAATGCAGGACTTTTACTTGTACCAGAGTATTATTACAGTGTGGTATTTTCTAGGGATGTCCCGATCACCTTTTTTTGCTCCCAATCCGATTCCGATCATTTGATTTTGACAATCTGCCGATACCGATTTTTCCCGATCCGATCTTTATGCAATGCATTAAGAGAAAAAAAAGGTAGCAGATAACGGCTGGTCGTCCAGCGATGAATTCAGCTATCTTGGCAGTTTCTCTTTCCTTTTGAAACTCTCTGAAAGTGTCGGTTGCTTCAGTGCCGTTACCTGAGTGGCCGCTGTGTACTCGTCGTGTTGGTGTTTGTTTCTCAGGTGGCGTGTTAGATTGGTCGTGTTGAACGTAGCTCTGTTCTTTCCACCACGCGGAACCTCCGCCTTGCAAACATTGCATCTGTTACACTGCCTTCGCTTTCAATTTTATAATACTTCCAAACTCCTGACATGTTCTCTGTCCCGACTCCCGAGTCACCAGCTGAACGAAGCCTCTCGTTAGCTGCTACTATTAGACACTGCGCCCACTCTGTTGCCAGCTTTGAGAGAGATAAGCAACCAGGTCTAAACAAGCCCAAAGGAAGCAACACGTACATGATGTTGAGTCATTTTAAACCAAAGCTAAGTCCTCAGGATGACTTTAAGACGTGAACATGGTCATTTTTGCTTTGTAACATTAAATAACATAATAAAAATATTTGATAAAAAAAAAAAAATTCCCGATCCCCGATTTTTTTCTTCCGATCTTTTGAAAATCACGTGATCGGCTCCGATCCCCGATCACGTGGTCGGATCGGGACATCTCTAGTATTAGTACTTTCTCATAAGTAATTATCCAAATAATCCTCCACTACTGCTATACTCCCCCATGTTAGCTTTTTGAACTTGATTAGGATCGTTGTAATGTCTGTCTGAATTTAACAAATTGTGTCTTCATTCAGGATATGCCATATTCCAAATCACAGTACAAGAAATGCGCTGTTATTGGAAATGGCGGCATCATCAAGAACAGCAAATGTGGAAAGGAAATCGACTCGGCAGATTTTATTTTTAGGTATTCAGCATTCAGTGTTTGTTATTGTTGTCTTTGAATAAAAGTCGGACTGGGTGAAATAGTTACCGTTGAAATGCCGAGCAAAGCAGATGTCCTAATTGAAATTATAATAAAGTACTAAGTGAGTTTGAAACCCTGCTTTCAGACATATTAATGCTTCATTTCTAACCAAATTGTTGATATTTGTGGGCATGTATTAAATCATTTTGGCAGTGATATTTATTTGTTCTCTCTATGGCCACTCCCAGGGTCTGTATGTGTTAAAATACAACTGATGTCAAAGGGTTTTAAATGTTAAATTGGTGGCTTTAATGCAGCTCTACCCAACCTGACTCGACATGTGGATACAACACGTCTAGTTAAAGTCGCTAAACTATCATTTGATTTATTATAGAAGCCAAACTCTTGATCACACAGCTGTTAAATGATTGATTGTGCATCTCACCAGCATGCCTAGTTTGTGTAAAGTCAAATCAAATGCATTTAAACTCCTGTATCAGTGGACTTGTGCTTTCTTTGTTGCAGGTGCAACATCCCACCCATCAATGAGAAGTACTCGGCTGATGTTGGCTCTAGAACAGATCTGGTGACAATAAACCCGAGCATTATATCTGAGAGGTACTGTGAATATCTGAGGGTCTGAGGAAGAATCTCACAGTCTGTTTTCTTTTCTTTTGGATTGTATACTGTTAGAAAAATCTCACTGGTCAGCGGCTTGAGCTTCAATCTCAGGATCCATGTATCTGTGATCCTCTCCAGAATGGAAGTAGTCATCAACTAGTTCCTGAACAGTGTGCTTCACATGCTGATATCCAAGAGAGGGGGTTACACAGTCACTACACTGTCATGTACAAAATATTCTGACTTTTTTTTAAAAATATGACTTTTTCTCAAAATTCTGACTTTTTCTCAAAATCTCAAAACTCTGACTTTTTCTGAATACTTAAAATGTTAATAATCCCTCGTCACCGGCTTGATCTTCAATCTCAGGATCCATGTATCTGTGATCCTCTCCTGAATGGAAGTAGTCATCACATACAGAGCATCAACTAGTTCCTGAACAGTGTCCTTCACATGCTGATATCCCAGAGAGGGAGTTACACAGTCACAAGATGGAGGAGTACCGGTTCTTCTCGGTAATCATACATCCTGTCATGAACAAACACTGACTTTTTTCTCAAAATTATGACTTTCTCTCACAATTATGGCTTTTTTTTCAAAATCTCAAAAGTCTGTCGTTTTTCTCCAAATCGCAAAATTCTGTCGTTTTTCTCAAAATCTCAAAATTCTGACTTTACTCGAAATCTCAAACAGTGTCCTTCACATGCTGATATCCAAGAGAGGGAGTCACACAGTCACAAGATGGAGGAATAGAAAGCAGTTCAATGTTTACTTCAGATTAGCTCCACGTCAGAAATGAGCATGCTTGATGTCTCTCTCCATAGAGGCTGAATCATCATGTTAATCACATAGCTATCATCTGCCTCAAACAGTCCTGATGCTCTTCTAGGTAATCACACATCCTGTCATGTTCACAGCTACAGTTGGGATACCTTTGTCATCACGTTGCTCTCATGTTGGAAGAGGACATTCAGTATTTTCCCATCATATACTCTAAATCTTCCTCCGCAGGTTTCAGAAGCTGGAGAAATGGCGGCGACCGTTCTACGAAGTCCTCCAGAACTACGAGAACTCCTCGGTGGTTCTTCCCGCTTTCTACAACACCCGAAACACCGACGTGTCGTTCAGAGTCAAGTACATGCTGGACGACTTCGACTCCCAGAGGGGCGTTTTCTTCTTCCACCCGCAGTACCTTCTGAACGTTCAGCGTTTCTGGGCGGTTCAAGGCGTCCGAGCTAAACGTGTTAGCAGCGGTTTGATGCTAGTAACCGCCGCCATGGAAATGTGCGAAGAAGTCCATCTCTACGGTTTCTGGGCGTTTCCCATGAACCCCGCGGGCATCTTCATCACTCACCATTACTACGACAACGTCAAGCCGAGGCCTGGTTTCCACGCTATGCCACATGAAATATTCAACTTTATTCACATGCACACTCGTGGGATCCTCAACGTACACACAGGGCCGTGCACGTGATCCCCCGCTCTCAGTAAATAAGACACTATTTCCCTCCTTTTTAGAAAGAGCGTCGGCCTTCAGAGCGTCTTTGCTCTCACTTATTCCACGACACAGTGAAGGTTGCTTGCTTGAATTGTCAACATACTTCTATTTTCGATGTGTATTAAGTTGGGTAACACTTAAGACTAAGGTACACTTATTCACCATCAACTAGTCGTTCTCGTTCATTCAAATATTAGAGACAAACTAGCTTATTTGTTATCAACGAGGCTTCACTTTAAAATAGGGAACATATTCCGAGTTAGAAAAACCTAATTTTTCGTTATTTTGACACAATTAACACATTCATGTCTTGTTACAGAAGAATAGACCATATTCGTTAGGTGTTATTATGGGAGAATTACTATTCTTGTGGTACTGCTACTGCATATTGAGCATATTAAGACCCACTCATGTCCAAACTCTCAACTAATGGCCTAGTACTTGTAGAATATGGTCATGTAGAATAAGGCATTAATAAGTGTTTTATACTGACTAACAAAGAGCCAATATACTGCTAACATGCATGTTAATTAATAACTAGTTGATGGTGAATATGTGTACCTTAATATAAAGTGTTACCTTAGGTTGATCCGATCACTATGGTAATCTCTGACTTTCTGACCATTGGGTTTTAACGTGAAAGTGGTCGTCATAGTGATGTTGTTTCTGTGAGGTTTTTCTAGTGGCTCCGCTGTACAGAGGTGTTGTTTTCTACTCAACGTTGCTCAGATAAGCTGAAATTGGTCGCAGTGGGTGCCCCCCCTCATCCCCCCGTCTTCTCTCTTTATCCCGGGCACGCTGTGGGTGTGGCAGCTTTGTGTGTTTGTGTAAAACAAAACCTTCATATCAGCAAAAATAAGTTAAAAAAACAGTTTAATTGTAACATCTAATCGTCTACTTTTGTAATCTATTTCCCATTCACCAGAGTGTTTTAAACCCTCTTTACTTTCTTCCAATTCTAAAAACCTGCTCTGATATTTCTGGTTATAGAAAAGCGTGTATGAGACGAGGATATTACTCACCCCTCTTTTCTGTTTTGGCTCATCCTGCTTTCGGACCAAAGCCAGATTAATATTTTAAAACGTCGCCATCTGAGCAAAAACATTTTAAGGCCGTCCAATTTGTAAAACCCCATAATACTGTTGAGCGCCTCTTGTCGTCATTCATGTCTTAAGCCATGCTGCCTTATGAGATAATAAACCCCTCTATACGATATGCAATGCACCCATGTGTTTGCTAACCAACAAATACATTCAATTAAACAACATCTTAGTTTCTCCCTTGAGTCAAAGGACATGTAGGACTCTTTAAAAAGGATTAGGAATTAGCCTGTAAACTCCTTTCCTACTCATGTAATGCTCTGCATGACTTACTCTATACTTGGCTTTGTGTGTGCCTGCTTCAATGACCACTGAAATATGTTTACAATTGGAGCTCACAGTGCTTTTGGAGATGTATACAAGAAACTGTTCACAGGATGGATTAGTTGAAATGTACAATAGTGGATGCAGTTTTTATCGGTTATTACAGATGCACGAATGAAGATGGTTTTTGTGACGACACTTTCATGTTTTATTTGACCTCCCTCTTTGCAATGTGAACACTTAGTTTGCACTCTAGAAAGCATTGTGCATTGAAGCACTGCGAAGCTGACTAGTTTTTTATTTTCGTTGTACGCTGCAAAGACTGTAAAATAATATGTTGTCACTCCTCTGTTCATGCTGATAAGATTTATGTTATTTCTGTCATCATATATGCAGACTTGTTGTGTGTTTATGAGAGATATGATGGACGTGAACACCAAAAAATGGCTTTGGCTTTTGCTCGAACACTAAAATTGTTGCACAGACACAAATGAATCGAGCATGGGAAAGGAAGGTGTGTACTGAATGGAGGTTATATATAAAACGCAGTCTTCACTGACTCTGGATCATTCTTTATACTGGTATTGTGTTTGTAAATAAACTTGTATGGATTTTCTCACTTTATGGATTATTGTGTGTGTGTGTACATTGGAGTGAATGGGGATAGCATGGGAGCACACTGCAATACCTGATTATATTTGCCACACTGCTATGCTTGTTGGCGCCACAAAGGACACAATGTGCAAGTTTAATAGACTCATTTCAGACCATTTAACCTGTGATTTGTCTGCTTCAGTTAGCTCTTAAGCGAAGCTGTCAACGCCTCAATTATTAAGCAGCGCTCGGTGTCGATGTCCTCTCACCGACGACTGCAACAGGATGGCTGGGAAATATGGCAGAATGTGCTATAACTGTTGAGGCTTTTAATGCTGACAGGCTCACAAAAGGGATTAAATCCAGTAAGAAATAAGATAGATATTAGAATCAGAGTGTCCGGTTGATTGCCAATAGGTTTTTCCACATACAAGGGATTTGATTTGGTGTAAAGTAGTGCATACATTAACAGAGTAAGATAGATAAATAAGAGCAAATATCGAAAAAAAAAAGATTATATAAAAACCATTATGTGAACAAATACCAATATGTGAAATCACTGTGGTGAAGAAATCTGTACAGTAGGCCTGTAACTGTTAGAATGTGATGCTGTAAGAACAACACACTGCAAAGGTAACTTACCATTACATTAATGATCAAGAGAGAAAGAATAATTTTGTCGATAGGTTTTGATTCAGTGTGCCAAAATGGTAGAATTAACATGCTGCCTTTCCACTTATATTTTACCAACATAACAAGGTTAACAGCAGCTGACCATAATATTAATAACGATTGTACTGTAAGTAACCATGAATACAAATATCTTATCTGTTATTTAATGATTACATTCTATAAATAATGAGCTTTTTCCATTATAAAAAGTAATGCCCAAACATTTCGATTCAAACCGCTGCGTATGAGCGTACGTGAAAACGTGCTTCGCTATTGGTCAACCACACCGAAGCCCCGCCCCCTTCTTCGCCACCTCGAAGCGGATATTTGCACTGAGGGGGGCTGCAGCACCCCCATCTATGAAGCTCCACGAGCAAACTAAAACTATATTTTGATGATAATACTTTTCTACTTTTACTTGAGGAACATTTTGAATGCAGGACTATTACTGTAACAGAGTATTCTTACACTCTGGTACTTCTACTTTTACTCAAGTACAAGATCTGAGTACTTCTACTTTTACTCAAGTACAAGATCTGAGTACTTCTACTTTTACTCAAGTACAAGACCTGAGTACTTCTACTTTTACTCAAGTACAAGACCTGAGAACTTCTACTTTTACTCAAGTACAAGATCTGAGTACTTCTACTTTTACTCAAGTACAAGATCTGAGTACTTCTACTTTTACCTCTACAAGTACAAGATCTGAGTACTTCTGCTTTTACTCAAGTACAAGATCTGAGTACTTCTACTGTAACTCAAGTACAAGATCTGAGTACTTCTACTTTTACTCAAGTACAAGACCTGAGAACTTCTACTTTTACTCAAGTACAAGATCTGAGTACTTCTACTTTAACTCAAGATCTGAGAACTTCTACTTTTACTCAAGTACAAGATCTGAGTACTTCTACTTTAACTCAAGTACAAGATCTGAGTACTTCTACTTTTACTCAAGTACAAGATCTGAGTACTTCTACTTTTACTCAAGATCTGAGTACTTCTACTTTTACTCAAGTACAAGATCTGAGTACTTCTGCTTTTACTCAAGTACAAGATCTGAGTACTTCTACTTTTTACTCAAGATCTGAGTACTTCTACTTTTACTCAAGATCTGAGTACTTCTACTTTTACTCAAGATCTGAGTACTTCTCTCACCACTGGGTTTACTTGATGTATATAAAGGGAACACATGAAGCTAGCGTTAAGGTTTTCTGCAGGAAATGTTCAGGATGATAAAATATTTGTTTTCAATGTGGATTAAAGGGGATTAGTAATGATGGAGCGTCAGGCCTTTAATGTGAGGGGATTCCTCCGTGCATTGGGTCACATGACGTTTTACTCACTGCTGTCGCCCTGGGGTTGGGTAATCTGATGTTGACGGATCAATATGACCAAACGTTGCCCTTCGCCTCGATGTTTGTCAGGTGTCAGGTAGCAGCAATAACGCTAATGGGTTGATTTGGCTCTAGGTGCAGATGTGAATGTGATGGAGTTGACACCAATAATCTGAGTATTTGCGCTACTATAAAAACTGTAAATCTGAAAATAACTATTTTTGTATTTTCTTCAGTAGTATATATTTGATATAGTCTGTACAATACAGTAGGTATGCTTGGTAAATAATACTTAATAGTGTTCTTGCAATTTAAAGGATTTCAGTGCTACAAACATTTTTTCACCTATTAAAATTATTTCTGGAAAAGTTCTACTTGGCACCTTTAACAAATCCTTTATTTTGATGATGTTAAATATTAAGAATGCCAAATATATTAAAGTGCTGATTACTTACTAGTAAATCTCAGTATTCATAATTTGTAGAAAATATTTATGTGAAGCTATACTACAATGTCCAGAGGAGGATCTCTTTAAGCTCCAACTGATTCCCTGTTTTCAGTCATTATACTAACTTAAAGGTGGGGTAGGTAAGTTTGAGAAACCGGCTCGAGATACACTTGTTATTATATTCCATGGAATGCTCTTAACATCCCGATAGCAATGAATATCTGAAGTGCTTTGACAATAAATCCATTAAAAAAAGTCATCTCTGGAAGCCGTGGCGCTGTAAAAAGCTCGACCAATCATCTGAGCCGGCTAAAGTAACTGGATGGCCTACCTGCCTGTCAGCCTTCCATCTGGGCACAAACTGATCTCGTGCCCTCATTGGTCATGTGCGCGTTCGTGTGTGTTGGAGGAGGGGCTCTGTAAGGAAGTGGCAGATTTGTTCCGGTTGTGTATTTTCAAATTCTAGCGCACTCGAGCTGGTTTCTCCAAAATTACCTACCCCACCTTTAAGAGAGTAGTATCAATCTTCTCATCTAACGTTGCAATAAAGCCAATAAGCCTATTTTAAAATGCTGAACTTCCTTTAAATAGACTGTGAATTTTGCTTAAAGCAGCCATGAAAGGAATCATTTCCACGTTGATATTTACTCATCCATGGTCAATCTTTCAGTCAATATTCCTTCAACTTAAAAGTGATTTATACAGGAGGGTGAGTTTCTCTGTGTGTGTGTGTGTGTGTGTGTGTGTGGTGTGTGTGTGTGTGTGTGGGTGTGTGTGTGTGTGTGTTTATGTAACTGTCTGTCTGTTAGTGTGACCGCAGGTAAAAGCGAGACTCCCCCAGCCCGTAAAGCGATCCTAACACCATGAATAATGAAGAGAGCCGTGGCAGGGAGGATAAGTTCTCTGTGCAAGGCTCCTTTTTCACAGGGCTTTCTCCTGTGGGTCACGTGACCACTGAGATGACAGTAATGTGGTGTGTGTGTGTGTGTGGTGTGTGTGTGTGTGTGTGTGTGTGTGTGTGTTAGTCATATGGCCATGTTCTGTCCAGGTACGAGGCGTCCAGGTAGCTAAAGCACCTCTGAGTGTGTGCTCCTGCAGCAGCTCTCACACACACATGTTCTCTAAACTCCTCGATCCCACCACCTCTCTGCGGCCAAGGGTCAAATGAATTGTCTTACACCATTAGAAACTCAAGGCCAGGGAAGTGGATGAATAAAAGATGCCGTCGAAACAGAACAAATCCACAGCTCCAGAGGAAACCGAAGAGGTCGATGACGAAGTGGAGGGGCCAAAGTTAAAGGAGAGGAACAACGAAGTGACCAGTGGAGACACAACAAGAAGAGAGAAGACTCGGAAGAAAACCAAGAGCGCGGAAAGCTCTCAGGACCCGGAGAAAGAAGACGGTGAAAAAGTGAAAAAGAAGAAGAAGAAACCAGATGATGATGCCGAAGCTGTGATTGAAAATGAAGATGAGGAGGAGGGCGAGCAGAACAATATGAACTCAAGACCAATTCCAAAAAGGGAGAAACCAGAGAAGCTCAAAGAGGAAGTGACCGAGGGGAAGAAGAAGAAAAAGAAATCCTCCACGGAGAAAGCAGAGGGAGAGGAGGAGATGGGATCCAAGGACAAGAAGCCGAAAGATGGCAAGAAGAAGAAGAAGAAGACTCACGATGACGATGATGAGGAGCCTTTGATCGAGGAGCAGCAGGAGGAAGAGGAAGACTCGAAGAAAAAGAAGAAAAAGAAGACCAAGAAGGGATCGGCGGACAGTGACGAGGATAAAAGAAAAAGGGGAAAAAGGCCAAAAATAAACAGGTGGACTTTGGAGCCATGTTCCAGAAGGAGCTGCTGGATTACCACACCGACTCATCTGATGGCTACGAGGAGGAGTACTACAAAAAGAAAGGTAAGGATTCAGAGAGGGCAAAAGTACACACATCCTTTCCTCAAGAAGTAGAAGTACAGACGATACTCGTGTTTAAAAATACTCTGTGAAAAGTAGAAGTACTGACTAAACTTACTTTACTCAATGAAAGTAGAGAGGCTTTGAAATGTACTTCAGTAAAAAGTACCCATAACTAGCAGCTGTTTTAAAGAGTACCTGACCTCCCTTTATATTATAGAACAATATGTCATTGTTAGCTAATGAATGGTTTCCATGCTGAACACGGCAACATGACAACGTTCCATTGGTCCCTCGTTCTTTAGAGAAGACCAGGAAATGATGGATCACACGGATCGTGTTCAAAATCAATAGGCCACGCAATGACTCTAAAGAATAATGATCACGCATCAAACACACATTCAGACTAAAGGAACCATGTTGGGAAATGAGAGAAGTAGAAAGTACAGGTATTTGAGTTCAACATGTAAGAAGTAGAAAGTACAGGTATTTGTGTTCAACATGTAAGAAGTAGAAAGTACAGGTATTTGAGTTCAACATGAGAGAAGTAGAAAGTACAGGTATTTGGTTCAACATGTAAGAAGTAGAAAGTACAGGTATTTGAGTTCAACATGTAAGAAGTAGAAAGTACAGGTATTTGTGTTCAACATGTGAATAGAAAGTACAGGTATTTGTTCAACATGTAAGAAGTAGAAAGTACAGGTATTTGTGTTCAACATGTAAAAGTAGAAAGTACAGGTATTTGTGTTCAACATGTAAGAAGTAGAAAGTACAGGTATTTGTGTTCAACATGTAAGAAGTAGAAAGTACAGGTATTTGGGTTCAACATGTAAAGTAGAAAGTACAGGTATTTGTTCAACATGTAAGAAGTAGAAAGTACAGGTATTTGGGTTCAACATGTGAGAAGTAGAAAGTACAGGTATTTGAGTTCAACATGTAAGAAGTAGAAAGTACAGGTATTTTTCAACATGTAAGAAGTAGAAAGTACAGGTATTTGGTTCAACATGTAGAAGTAGAAAGTACAGGTATTTGGTTCAACATGTAAGAAGTAGAAAGTACAGGTATTTGTTCAACATGTAAGAAGTAGAAAGTACATATTTGAGTTCAACATGTAAGAAGTAGAAAGTACAGGTATTTGGTTCAACATGTAAGAAGTAGAAAGTACAGGTATTTGAGTTCAACATGTAAGAAGTAGAAAGTACAGGTATTTGGGTTCAACATGTAAGAAGTAGAAAGTACAGGTATTTGTGTTCAACATGTAAGAAGTAGAAAGTACAGGTATTTGAGTTCAACATGTAAGAAGTAGAAAGTACAGGTATTTGTGTTCAACATGTAAGAAGTAGAAAGTACAGGTATTTTGAGTTCAACATGTAAGAAGTAGAAAGTACAGGTATTTGAGTTCAACATGTAAGAAGTAGAAAGTACAGGTATTTGTTCAACATGTAAGAAGTAGAAAGTACAGGTATTTTTGTTCAACATGTAGAAGTAGAAAGTACAGGTATTTGGTTCAACATGTAAGAAGTAGAAAGTACAGGTATTTGGGTTCAACATGTAAGAAGTAGAAAGTACAGGTATTTGGTTCAACATGTAAGAAGTAGAAAGTACAGGTATTTGAGTTCAACATGTAAGAAGTAGAAAGTACAGGTATTTGTGTTCAACATGTAAGAAGTAGAAAGTACAGGTATTTGAGTTCAACATGTAAGAAGTAGAAAGTACAGGTATTTGGTTCAACATGTAAGAAGTAGAAAGTACAGGTATTTGGTTCAACATGTAAGAAGTAGAAAGTACAGGTATTTGGTTCAACATGTAAGAAGTAGAAAGTACAGGTATTTGGTTCAACATGTAAGAAGTAGAAAGTACAGGTATTTGAGTTCAACATGTGAAGAAGTAGAAAGTACAGGTATTTGGTTCAACATGTAAAAGTAGAAAGTACAGGTATTGTGTTCAACATGTAAGAAGTAGAAAGTACAGGTATTTGAGTTCAACATGTAAGAAGTAGAAAGTACAGGTATTTGTTCAACATGTAAGAAGTAGAAAGTACAGGTATTTGAGTTCAACATGTAAGAAGTAGAAAGTACAGGTATTTGGTTCAACATGTAAGAAGTAGAAAGTACAGGTATTTGAGTTCAACATGTAAGAAGTAGAAAGTACAGGTATTTGTGTTCAACATGTAAGAAGTAGAAAGTACAGGTATTTGAGTTCAACATGTAAGAAGTAGAAAGTACAGGTATTTGAGTTCAACATGTAAGAAGTAGAAAGTACAGGTATTTGAGTTCAACATGTAAGAAGTAGAAAGTACAGGTATTTGAGTTCAACATGTAAGAAGTAGAAAGTACAGGTATTTGGTTCAACATGTAAGAAGTAGAAAGTACAGGTATTTGGTTCAACATGTAAGAAGTAGAAAGTACAGGTATTTGTGTTCAACATGTAAGAAGTAGAAAGTACAGGTATTTGTGTTCAACATGTAAGAAGTAGAAAGTACAGGTATTTGGGTTCAACATGTAAGAAGTAGAAAGTACAGGTATTTGGGTTCAACATGTAGAAGTAGAAAGTACATGTATTTGAGTTCAACATGTAAGAAGTAGAAAGTCAGGTATTTGGTTCAACATGTAAGAAGTAGAAAGTACAGTATTTGTGTTCAACATGTAAGAAGTAGAAAGTACAGGTATTTGAGTTCAACATGTAAGAAG